CTGGTAGTAATATATTAGTGACTGGTGGATCTGGGAATGTAATGTACACTCCATTTTGATTTATTTATATTCAATGACTTATGGTTGCTATATCATCAATAATTACTGTTATTATTATTATTATTATTATTATTATTATTATTTATTTATTTATTTATTTTTAGTGATAAACCAGTTAAATTTATGGAGAAGAACAGGGTCTGTGATCAAACTCTCTGCTAAGCTTTTAGTCCTGGTAAGTTGCAGACCCCCTACTATCAATATTACCGGACCCCTACCCCAGGGGGTAAATTCTATGTTACAGGGGGTACTGATAAGATAGTACGTGTGTATGAGATGAGTGATCCTCCATTACTAGTGAATGAACTAACTGGACATGCCCCCTACTTCCCTTAAAAGGTTAATGTGTTTTGTGTTTGGATTAGATTTAATTCAGAGACTGTTTGCCTTCCCTTATAAGTACATGTATATTCCGTCAAAATGGCCGCCATTAAACACAGCTAATGTACATGTACATGTATCATCGTTAGTATAACGTTCATGTACTTATTGACTCATGACTGATCCATTACCCTCCCCCTCTCTCTCTCCTCTATACAGAGTAAAGGTCACATTAATCACAGTGTTACTTCATTACCTGATAATAACTGGTGATCTACTGCCTCCTCTATACACTGCAGTCATGAGTCCATACCTCATCAAAGAAGTATCAGACAGAGCCCGTGATAATTATTAATAATAATATTATATTGTCTTTTTTTCTGAGTAACAGCATGTTATTAGTCTACTACTTTATTTAATCTTTTATTTTGCAATTTTAATTTTTAACTTCAATTTTTTCAAAAAATTGCTGTAACTCAAAGATTTTTGTCGGAATCACCTGAAACTTTCTACATATCTAAGGACAATTTTCAAAAATTGGCTGATGCCCATAACTTTTAAAATTTAATACTAATTGGAATCATCTGAAACTTTCTACATAGCATAAAAATTAATATGCATCAGAAAATGTAATAAAAATTAATTTTGTGGTGATTTTCGAGCAATTATTTAGAAACAATTATTTTGCTTTTTAAAATAAAATTGGCCAATTTTTTTAAATGGCCATAACTAGAAAATTTGAAGTCAGAATCAGCTTGAACTTTGAAGTGCACAATGGGCACATTCACAATTATCAAAAATAATATTATCAGTATGTACTATTAACAGTGTCATTCAACTACTGTATCAGTGTAAATTGTAATAAGCTGATGTTGAATGGATCAATGTTCTTAAAATCATGTCTAATTATTATTTTAAAGAAACATTAAAAATTATTAACAGCATAACAAATTATATAAAGCAGTTAATATATTAGATACACTAGCTACTATTAGTTCTAGCAATAATATAATGGACACAATAATTATAATAGTCAATTAAAAAAAAACTCAATACTAATGATAAGTAATATCAATGCATATAAACACATTCAATAAAAGTTAATGTATAAAAGCTATGGCATGTAAAAGAAATCTCATTTCAATAAAAAGTGGAGCAGAAACAAGTACACAAACTATTAATGCTCATAAACAATACAACATAATATACAATACAACAATAATGATTTATAATAACAAAAATAAGAATAATAAACCAGAGGAAATCATCATAATGCTGCATATTGTATAACAACTATCAATAGAAATAATAAATAAATACTGAGCATTACTTTACTCTAAAAAAACATCAAAAAATTGAAAAAATTGCCCTGCTGCAAAAATGGAATAAATTACCTAACAAGAAGTCTCCATTATTCTTGAAGGTATTAAAGTTAACGAGAGAGAGATTTGATGCCATAGTGTTAATATAATGAAAAAAGGAAATGATCGAATGTGTTTGTGTAGAAGTGAAGGTGTAGTAGAGAATGAGTATGATGTGGTAAATTGGTAATATGTACAATAGAATTGAAACGACTCCAAGAAAAATGAATGAAAGGAATAAAGTACGACAATGACACTTACAAGAAAGCAGTCCATTTAACGTAGTGTTATAGTTAAAGATTTAATATAAAAATGAAGGACGAGGTTTAGTAGCTATTGCTACTAGCTGCCTTTTCTCTGCCTCGTCAACAAATTCACGAACTAATTTTGATAAACTAATTCTAGCCTCAAGAAACTTAACAATAGACTCAGCATTGACTGACCTAGCACCATCAACGTCTCCTTGAACAGGAACCAAATCAAACTTATCTATTAAAATACG